AGGAAAATATTATTTTCCTCGTAAGAGCCTCGTAAATTTACTTCCACTTTACGAGGAAACGCTTTTCTCGTAAGTTTACGAGAACCTTACGAGGAAAAGATGTTTCCTCGTAAAGTCGAAGTAAACTAGTAGTATTTTTACGAGGAAATGTTTTCCTAGTAAATTTTCCTAGTAATGGCTTAGTTTTCTTGTAGTGTCAACATTTGTATCATATTTTCATCTATGTGATATGTCTCAGCTGCAAAGAGAGAGACATTTATATCTTGATTAATATACTTCAGACTCATGAACACTATATCATTATAGTGCTCCACCCACACTATCTTTTATTAATTATTCGTTTTGTTTAAAAATTAGAAGATGTTATGATAATGTTTCCATGCAATGCAATGTGGACGCACTTTAAACCTTATGGAGACCCAAAACATAAAAAGAAATAAAGTTCTAAAGGGACGAAATGATGACAAATTACGATGATTAAAAGTGGGAAATAGTTTCATGCTCACACGATCTTACTGGAAGTTTTTATAAGATAATTTTAGAAACGAAGATATTTTCATTTAACAAACTATTGACCTTATAATTTTGATGTCCTGCACATCCAACCAATAAGTATAGCATTTATATACAGTTTCAAAAAAAAAAAGTATAGCATTTATATAGCTAATATACAAGTGTACTAGATAATACACTGTTTACCAAATATGTCATTTTAAACTCTCTAACAATAACATGGACACACACCTCCCAACTTATTAATGAAATGTTCCAAAAAAACTTATTAATGATCATTCCCTTTCATGTGAGCAAGAAGTGCACCCACAAAATATTCTTACTACCAATTTAATTGTATAGGTTCTAACTTGTGTTTTGAAATTTAAAACCATTGTCAATTTGGAATGCTTAGCGCAAAAGGACAACACATACCGTTCACAAAAATGAATTAATCAAATATGATTTCCAAATTTATTCCATGAACAAAATAACAAAAGCCCACAAAAATCACAAGATTTGATAAAGAAAAAGTAATTATAATAAACGTGACAGTGCAATAATTCGTATTATTATGCAACCAAACGAGGTCCACGAGGGACGATGGTTACGCTGTGACACACTCATAACAGAGAGAGTAAACCAATATTGACCAAACCGGGAAATGAAAGAAGTAAAGAGAGTATTGAAAATGGTCCAAACTGAAAATTGAATAATGAGTGATGATGCTTCGAACCTATCATCCCCAACCATCATTGCGAATCTTAGAGGGACGACGATGGCCTATAGCCTTCCTCTTCATCATCATTTTCATTCAATAACTCGCTTCAGTCCTTCTTTATTTACTTTACTCACTACAAATTACCCTTCTCCTATCTTCGTATCAAACCCAAGCCGGTCTACATATTAAATGTGACTCTAGGGTAGAAAGAACCGTTCTTATTGTTTTACTAACATTATAATTTTGAGTTCCACTAAAAATGTCAAGCGTATTGTTGATAACAAAAACACCTCAAACTAGTTGGATCCGGAGTCCTGTGCAATTTTCTTTATTTCTATACTCTCCTATTTCGATCATCATTCACATGACGCAACACAGATCTTTTTCCCACTCTTTCCTTCACAAAGTTATTATTGAAAGTATTTAGAAAAGAAACAAAAACAAACTATTGAGAGCTGTGAATTCGGCCGCCATCTAAGCAAAAACACGACACAAAGCATGATTGTTGTGTCAGGAGAGAGGGGCATGTCCCACTTCTCTTTCTCCCCCTAGCTTTTTGTGGCTCTATATAAGAGACACTATCTTCATTTTGTTCTCTTTGTCCCTATACCTTCCATACAAGTACAACTAATCTCTCTCGTTACAAACATATAAGCCCACTTTCACTTCTTCATTCGGTTCCAACACTTCAACCTAAAGGTAATCTCTTTCTCGTTAGAAACATATCTCCCATCACGTACAAGCAACGTGAGTATCATTTACATGGCCACCCAACTATTTGTTTGTTTTTTTTTGTTTTTGTTTTTATAACAAACTTTAATTGGGAAAACTTAAAGTTTAGCCTGTCTTTCAGACAAAGGTAGCCGAGTAAACCCTATTTGTTGTTTTTTCATTGTAATTTCGAAACTATCTTTTCCTCGTTTTTATTTAACAATAAAGATAATTGGCTTTGGTTTTACTCATACCTGCTTTGTTTTGGTCAGTTTCTTCTTGTTCTTTTTTTTTCTTGTCTAAATGTGTTCTGTATTTTAGTTTTGGAACATTTTTTTTTTTGAAAAATAGTTTTGGAACTTCATCATTATACTTCTGCATCATCATTACTTTATTTTTGTTTTCATGGTTGTGGTGGCTTTATCTTTTCTATTCTCGCAACCACAAAGAGCATGATTGTTCTTCTGTTTGATCATTGTTTTCTTCTAAAAGAAAAATTGATATTTTTGGTTGAGAACGAAATAAATGCGTTCATGATTTTCACTTAATGTAATTCCAAATTAAACGTGTGAAGCTGCACAGCCCATGTGGTGCTGCAATGATTTAACTTCAACTATAATCATAACATAGAGCATTAATAACTCAAATCTTCTTCTTCTTTTTTGGTTTAACATAATTTCTTTTTATTTAAAAAAAACAGGGGAAGGTTTATAGAAATGGAGAAGCTAAACTCGAAGCTGTACGTGCAAAACTGTCATATAATCAAGGAGAACGAAAGGTTGAGGAAGAAAGCTCAGATACTGAACCAGGAGAATCAACAACTTCTCTTTGAACTCAAACAGAAGCTCTCCAAAACCAAGAACCCTAATGGATCCAATCAAGGAAGCAACAACAACCTATCTTCATCTAGCTCTGCTTCTGGACAATCTTGATGCAACAAAACTCTTAGGATAAGATTTGGATTTGGAGACTGAACATCATCATAACCCTGCTTAATTAGAAGAACCCATCTTTTTATCTTTTTTTTTTTTTGGTGTAATAGTGTACTGTAAGAAAATAGTAAAAGACTTAAGAGTAGTGGTTAGTAGTAGTATTCTTAATTATCAAGTACTTTTCTTGTTGTTTTATCTTTATTTTAAAATTGTGGGTTATTCTAAAAAAGGACATAAGCAAATGTGTTTCTCTGTCTATCTTCCCAGGATAGTTTACTTTTGTTTCCATTTACATGCTAATTAGATTTTATTTTTTGCCTTTTCCAAGTGGTGTTTGGTTCTTTATGATTTGGTTGATTCTGGGACTACGTTGTACGTACTGCTCTTATTTTAAAGTATCTTTATGTCTTCAGTATCCCTTTTACTATTCTACATTTTCCTTTGTTTATGTTTTAAAAAGAATCTTCTACTTTATAGTATAGTTTTTATTTCTTGTAATAGTTATGTCAGTTAAGAGATTTATGATGTCAGCTAGATTTATTTTCAAAGTAATAAGCAAAATCATGTTGTAAAGTATTGATAATGAATTTATATGCGGATAGTATTGACAATGGAGTAAGAAATACAAGAAAAATGTTTACTCCAACATAGGTAACTAACTACTCAAACATACCTAAACTAATCTTCTTTAACTTTTCATTCTAACAATATCTGTTAAATACAACTTGAGAATGGACCACAACATCTATTAGAGAATTTCAATTCTACAAACAATAGCCTAGCCTAGCCAAGCCAACCCGGACAATCGTTGGTTCTATTGTTGTATATGAGAGAGGCTTTGTTAAGAGAAAGAGAGGTGTGACGAACCAAACCACACCAACCTGAGAGAATAACCACAAGACCATCTTTAGCTTATTCTTATGCATGTACAGTTGTTACAAACCTTGAAAGTTATGTCTTTCTTTTTTCTCAATTATCTTTTCCTCGTGCGTATAGCACAGGCAGTCCCATGTAATTGCAGAATATGTGACCAAACAAAGAAGCAGCCAGATGTCCTGTAAGTATTACACAACGCAGGAGACGTCATTACCAAGGATACCATTAGAAGGACAATACATGTAATCTGTATAATGTACCGGTTCTGATAAGGAGAAATGATGCATACTAGTACCAAACATAGCTTTCCTGACGAAGGAGCCTTAAGCCAATAATATTTTGCCATGTCTATCGATATTTACTGGGCCGGTGGGACCCATTGGATCTTTAAGAAATTTACTTTAGATTTATGAGGATACAATAGTCATTCTCAATATGTGATATACGTCAACATATAAATAGTATTTCGTCATATTAAAGTGTATATACGATTGACGAAAGTCACGAAATTACTCTCCGTCACCTTTTTCTTTGTTATTCTCTAATTGATCCAAACAAGAATCCTAATTTTGATTCCATCGTCGATCTAAAAATGACAAAAGACTTTGCCGTGCCACCTGTCCCCGGAACTAACAACATCCAGCAACGTCAGCTACGTCACTGATCTCCAATAGCACATTATATTTTTTTCTATAATTTATATTAAAACATATTAATTCTATTATAGAATAAATTTACTTCAATGGTTTACTATAATAGAATGGAATATAGATGAATGTCACTTTTCAACTATATGTTTGGAATGAAAAAGTGACATTCTTCTATATTTTCACTGGTGATTCTATTGGTGGTCAAGCTTGATAAGTTTGTTTCTTATTTTCTTTCTTCATACCATGTCAATATGCTTACAAATATATTTGTTTTGTTTCAGATATGTTTGCCTAACAGCAATGACATGAGTGTGCTTGATTTGATCTGTGACTATATCCATTTCACCGGTGAGGAAACAACCTATGGTGAAGTGCAATTTTTTCTCTCTCTTTTAATGAGATCGTTGATGGATGTGATGGTGGATCTTTTTATGAGATCGTGACTCCTCCAACTTATCGATACCAAGTGTAGTTAAAAGTTTTGGAACCTTCAGCCGTCAAGTGATGGGATGAGACCTAAAAAACTAATAACCATAGTATTGGGAAACATACACATAGGATGATATTTTCACTTTCATTGTATTTTTTCCATATTTTATTCACATCACACTGACTGACAATTTTAAAATTCAAATATTGTAGAGAATGATAAGTATTTTTCCAGTTATCTCTAACAAACTACATGAGATGATTATATGTGAAAGGAGCCATGACACCATGGGAGCCCACTTGTATAGTTTGATTTGATTTTCATGTGAGGACATGGTCTTCAAGAAATGGTGTTGAGACCACTTGGCATTATTAAGTAGGTCTCCAATACTAGGAGACTGAAGAGAATGGGAGTCTTGATAAAAAGATCAAGGAAGTCTCACAATCCAGTTTGCAAAAGATTGTCATTGCTACATGCATGGGAGAGGTAAACAAGCAAGTTGCAATAGTTATTTTCTTTTTGATTAAATAATTTATTGAACTGTTTTTCTCCCATTTGTACAGGTGATGCACATGTCTAGACACAAGGGAGAGAATTCCAGCCTCACAGATCATACAACGCTTCATCTAAGGACAACTGTTGTAGTCGTTGAACAAAACGTCATGATGTGATTTATATGGCTGACCGAGTGATCATCATTATAGGAGAACTATGTGTACATAGTAAAGTTGCAAAAACACAAAGAATATAAGAACAAATACTTCTTATTAAATTTAGATACTCGTTCAAAACTAATCACTGAATATATTCTCTTAAGCGGTACAACATCTAAATCTTATCTAAACTTGATTATATATTTCCTTTTTCTTAACTCACTAAACTTCTTTTCAATGAGTTTATTTGCTCTTTAATTTAATTGGAATTGTCCAACATTCTCCCCCTTAATTCCAATTTGAATCTTGGGTATGTTAATGTCTTGAACTCTAATAAGCTCCTACACTTCTTTGAACTTTGATCTGTACCAACAGTTTAGTTAGGTTAGTTAAAAGATTTATTACCTCAGCAAGATTTATTTTCAAAGTAATAAGCGAAATTATGTGGTTAAGGATTGATAATAAATTTATATGTTGATAGTATTGACAATGATGTAAGAGGATACAAGGAAAGTGTTTACACAAACATAAGTAACTACTCAAACATACCTAAACTAATCTCCATTAACTTTACTTTTTAATAGTATTTGTTAAATACAACTTGAGAATATACCAGAGCCGGCCCTTGGCAAGAAAGCCACTGCTTCTGGCCGTTTTATTATAAACATAATTTCGACTACAAAATCTCAAAACATTCCTTTGGTCTATTGGTAAAATTCAAACTCCAAAGCCTGTCTTTGTCCTAACCATGGTTCGAACCTCCCCTTTTAATAGACCACAACATATGTTTGAGATGTGACTGCAGAGTGTCAATTCCACAAACAATAGTGAAGCCACCTTTACAAAAAAAAAAAAAATAGCGAAGCCAACACCGACAATCGTTGGCTTTTTCCAAGGTTTTGAAAACAGGACCGGACTGGCCGGTCCGACCGGTTGGACCGTGACTCTTTAGACAAGACGAGTCCAGTTTGGTCCAAAACTCGGGATTGATCAAAAACGAAAAACCTGGCTTAAAACCGAAAAACCCGGTGACCCGGTTGAACACTGAAACCTGGTTTACAAAATACAAGAATCTGTTGAAATTTTACGTAATGTTCATTGCAGTTTGCTTCTAAAAGATAGGTGAGCTAAAGTTAAAATATAGGGCTGTGAATTTATAAAAGATAACTGTTAAATGGTCACATATTCAGGTTCTCAAAACGAAAGAAGTCATATGATTCAATTGATTATGAATCCAGTCATAAAATGGAATTCTAGGTAGTGGAAGAAAGTGGAGAAGCTGAACCAGTTTATGATTAACTTAAGAATGCACTTACCCAATAAAACCAAAAAGATAGAAAAGCCGTGACATCTGAAACCTTGAACTTGAATTATATGTTTCTTTGACCATGCTGTCCATTATTTAACTCATACATTTTAACATTTCCTTTATTAAGTTTTTGATATTTCCAACAGATTTGTTTTTAAAATTTGCCATGTTTGCATTTAGTTCTTTATGTAGTCGAAATTCTGTTATTTTTTTTCAATTTTATGATAATATTTCTAGATATTAGTCATTATACATTAATATATATATGATTATATATATAATAAACAAAAAATCCGGTTCGATCGGTTGAACCGGTCCGACCAGCACCTAGTAAATATATCAAGTTATTATCCGGTCTGGTTTTTAAAACATTGGTTTTTTTTCTTTGTTAAAGGAAAGAGATGTGTGACAAACCCAACCACACCGACCAATTGGACTTTATAAAGATTACTACATTCCTATTAGGAGGACACAACAGTAAATTCCGATACGTGATATACGTCAACATGCCAATACCAACGAAGCTTACTGTATTATCACGTCATACTAAAATATATTACTTCTGTATTGACGAAACCACCCTCACACACCTTCTTTATTTAAACGCTCACGAACTGATTCTAAACCGAAACTCGAATTTCAATTCCGCCACTATAACCCGAAGATGACTAAAGACTTCGCCGTGCCACCAGTAGTCTTCCCCAGAGCAAACAACTTCCAGCAACGACGCTTCCAACCACCACGCACTTCCTCCTCCTCGATCCCTTTCATGTCGTTCGAAATCGGATCATCATTCAACAGAGGAGGCTCAACTTCCTTAGAAGACGAGGAGCCTCTCCTCTCCGAGCTCGGGATCCACCCGGAACAAATATGGAGCAAAACCAGATCGATACTCAACCCGTTCCGAATCAATCAATCCGTTCACAAGGACTCATCGGATCTCTCGGGACCTATCTTTCTCTACCTCTCGCTTTGTGTTTTTCAGTTGCTTGCTGGGAAGATCCAGTTCGGTGTGATATTGGGGTGGATCGTTGTGGCTTCAATTTTTCTTTATGTGGTTTTTAATATGCTTGCGGGGAGGAGGAGTGGGAATTTGAATTTGCACACGTGTGCGAGTTTGGTTGGGTATTGTTTGCTCCCGGTGGTGGTTTTGGCGGTTGTGTTGTTGTTGTTTGTGCCGCGTGGGGTTGGGGTTGTTAGGTTTGTTGTTGCGGGGGTGTTTGTGTTGTGGTCTACGAGGGTTTGTTCTGGTTTGGTTGTTTCTTTGGCTGATGGTGGTGAGGGAGGGGAGCATCGTGGGTTGATCTCGTATCCTTGTTTCTTGATTTATTGTCTTTTTTCTCTTCTCGTTGTGTTTTGATTTGTGGAAGTATTGATAGTTCTTTGATGTGAGGTTGAAATAGCAACCTAGGTGTAAAGGCAAGGGTTTGTTTTTTTTTTTTGGTAAATTTAAAAAATTGTTTATGAAAATTTGATTCAAAATTTGTATCTATCTTTCACTTGTTTATTTTTTGAGGTAATTATATTTACACAATTCATATCAAATATACATCTTCTGTTTTGCATCTTTGATAGTGATACACGATGATGAGTTAAAAATAAATACATATAAACCCAAATCTAGGATCCATAAACTCTTAACAGATACTTAAGCATCTTAGTTCTTACTCAGTCCTTAAATTTTCAAAAATAATTAAGCTTCTTACTCTCAGTCCTTAAATTTTCAACATAGAAAAACCCTCTAAACCGGACCCTATCACTCCAAGCATTTGACGTTGCCGGCACGGCACCAGAGATGTCCGCAGCCGGCAATAGACAGTTCGCCAATAAAACACTGCCTGTCCTCGTTGGAAATCTCTGACATTCATACCGGGGAGACGACTTCGTATCACTCAAGGCCTCCAGGTTTATCTCGAACAAGTCATCTTCTTCGCTCCCTCCCTCGCCACCGGGTTGTTTAGGTTCGTTTGCTTCTTGTTTCTCTTCCTCTGTTCCCAGGTTAACCAAACCAGCGTGACCTGTCATGTCTGAGTCCAATTAATGTCCAGTTTTGAAAGCGTTGTTGTGGTATGCATTTGAGTATGTGGTTGATGTGTATTTATAAAGGTGATTTGACGAGAAGATGGGTTAGTGGAACGGTCCTCAACGAACCTACAACTATCTTTGTTGGGAATTTTTACCACTTTGGAGATATTAAATGTTTCCCATGCTACCGGTTGCTATATATAGATATATTTTAATGGTCTAATAACCTTTTTTGGAAAGATAATTAATTTCAGAACATGTTTGGAGCAAATGATATGTTTTAGAGTGTATTTAGAAACACAACATTAGTGCTTTAGCATATGTTTTTTTCCGGTCTAATTTTCTATTTACAAAGTTTTTCTTTTGGTTGCATGATGGTAACTTTTTCTCTCTAATGGTGCTTTATTAATCAACGGATTACGTGGATTAATCATTTATATTACAGTGGATTAACCAAACAAACAAGAAACGACCAACTTTTTCAAAAAGTTACAAGTAAACTAGATTAATTAGACCTAACCTCTCTGTTTCTCACTTTCCAGCTACTTCTCCTGCTCCTCAGGTTTTGATATTTCCCCTCGTCCATTGTGAATTCTCCATCATATATTCGAAGCTCTTGTTTTAAGCTATGTAGAAAAGTATGGAGAGAATAGTTAAACAAAATTCAAGAATTGGGACATGATGATTAGATTGTTGACAATTAGACAATGCATGTAGGATAGAAATTTATATCAATTTAACTGATTTGGTCTCAAGAGACTTCACTTATACACATCATTGTTACTTGTGATTGAAGATTCATTGTTAGAGACATGAGAAAGATTTTCTGTTTGTCTGAATCTTGATTACCAGGTTGTCTTTGACTCTCTGTCGATGGCATCCGATGCTTGTAGGCACGACACTGCCTTCGCAGCTCTATTATCCTCATGTCAAAATCTACTAATCATTTTGCCACCAGTCTAAAGATCTAAACGTTTGATATGACATCATTGTATATGATATTGAGGAAGGACTAGGTGTGTATATGGTTTCATTTGGTTATCGAGAAAGTGATCCAAGTAAGGGCCTTGATTTCTTGTACGGGCCCAAAATGAATATATTTATGAATATTTCGGACACAAAATAATAGCCCACAATGAGAAATCATATATTATAAAATATCAATATGTAATTTGTCAACAACCGACCTTAGCTCAGTTGGTAGAGCGGAAGACTGTAGTAGTTGCTGTGATCTTTAGGTCGCTGGTTCGATTCCGGCAGGTCGGATATTCTTTTTCGAATGTTTTTATTGTTATAAATCAGAATAATAGAATCATGAATTTCAGTTTCTCGCGTGCTATGCTTACGAAAGAATCCAGATATTAAAAAAAAAAAATCATTTTATAGCAGAGAGACTACACGTGTCTAGCCGCAGAAATGACACCACAAGTAACAGAAACAGAACGCGTGTACAGCACGTGTCAGACACTGCCGAGCCGATTCTTAGCCTCTGATCATGGGCTTGGACCTGGACTTGTCTAAGTTTGCATGTCTTTGAAATCTCATTGGTTTACAGAGATGACTTTGGACAAAAGAGGTTGACCTTCACGGTGAACATCTTAACTCTATTTTACCACTTTCCCCTAACATTTTTATCTTCCTCTCTTTGTCCCTTTACAAATTACAACACCAATACGAAACAAGTTAAATTTCTCCGGCGGCTTTGAATCTATAGGAGGAGGAAAGGAACACAGAGCCACCGGTGTTGTAAAACATTTAACTTTCAGGTTCTTCGCCCAGCAGCTACTACTACTGTTATTTTTTCTTTTAGATCCTGAGGAATATATGTTTGATTTAATAGAGAGATTTTTTATATTTTTGGGCTTTGTCTAGTTGCTTTTTTCTAATATGTCATTCCATAGTAATTTTGTTGTTTATGTTTTCTTTTCATCTTCATCTATAACTCTGAATCTTTTGTCCGATCTAATTTGATAAAAAAGCCTGCTTAAATATTTGTAATCCTTCATATTAATCTATTTCTATGTATAAGTTTGATAAACATGAAAGGAAGTGGTACTCATACTCTGTAATAGAGTGTATAAAAGATGATTCAAACTCATTAAAAAATTTAGATTAAGCCTTAAATTATTTTTTCACGGCCGGAATAAGGTTCACTGGAGATAACAAAGTTTAAAATAAAATAAAGAGACAAAACATAGATTGTTCGCTTTAAGTGGAAAACGAGTGGGGTATGATACTTTCCTCTTTTGGATATTGGAACCTTTATTGAAATGAGTAATTATTAGATTGTTTATTGCTAAATTTAGTACCGCTCTCACTGTCACGATGTAGACCGATCTGCTTTATTTTCACGTGGATCTACTTCAACAACACCATAGAGCGCTTCTTTTTTCATGTTTAAATGTTATCTGTAAATCACCACCACCGTTGCCAGTTCACAACTAATTTTATGATATCCAATAGGAGTAAACTTCGTTCTTTACATTATCCCTCTCGTTGAGCTTTAATGATACCATGATCTAATATAGAATTAGATGACGTACGTGGTAGTCTATAACCTTAATGTTGTTTATATGCAGCTGGTAAATGGTAGTTAGAGAGACAAAGATGATGTCTGAGCGAGAAGTAGAGTCATCGGCAAGACATAATGGAGGAGGAGCTGGAGGAGGAGGAGGAGGAGGAGAGAATCATCCGTTTTCATCATTGGGAAGACAATCATCCATCTACTCATTGACCCTCGACGAGTTCCAACACGCTCTCTGTGAGAACAACGGCAAGAACTTCGGATCCATGAACATGGACGAGTTCCTCGTCTCTATTTGGAACGCTGAGGAGAATAACAACAACAATCATCAAGCTGCCACAGCCGCAGCTTCTCATCCTCCAGTTCCACACAATGGTTTCAACAATGGTGGAGGTGAGAGTGGAGTGTTTGGTGGTGGCTCTTCAGGTAACCAAAGAGATAACAAGAGGTCAGGGATAGCTAAGCAGCCAAGTCTTCCACGACAAGGCTCGTTGACACTTCCAGCTCCGCTTTGTAGAAAGACTGTTGATGAAGTTTGGTCTGAGATACATAGAGGTGGAGGTGGTGGTGGTGGAGATAGTAATGGACGCAGTAGTGGTCAAAACAATACTCATAAAGGCGGTGGTGAGAGTGCGGCTAGGCAACCAACTTTTGGGGAGATGACACTTGAGGATTTCTTGGTGAAGGCTGGTGTGGTTAGAGAACATCCCACTAACCCTAAACCTATTCTGAACCCGACCCCGTCCAATGTCATACCCGCACCTACGCAGCAGCAACAGCTTTACGGTGTGTTTCAAGGAACAGGAGGAGGAGGGTATCAGCAGGCACCACCGGTTCAACCAGGTGTTTGCTATGGTGGTGGTGGTGGTGGGTTTGGAGCAGGTGGACAGCAGATGGGGATGGTGGGACCGTTAAGCCCGGTGTCGTCAGAGGGGTTAGGACATGGACAAGTGGATAACATGGGAGGACAGTATGGAGTTGATATGGGAGGGTTAAGGGGAAGGAAAAGAGGAGGTGATGGTCCGGTAGAGAAGGTGGTTGAGAGAAGGCAGAGGAGGATGATCAAGAACCGTGAGTCTGCTGCTAGGTCTAGAGCAAGAAAGCAGGTTAGTTTTTTAAATATTTACTATGAATTGTTAATTTTAGTGGAAGAGCTAATCTTTGTTGTGTCTTTTGGGGGTTTATGAAGGCATATACAGTGGAATTGGAAGCAGAATTGAACCAGTTGAAAGAAGAGAACACTCAGCTAAAACATGCTTTGGTATTATTGGTCTTTAATTTGGTTAGAGTCTATGTTTATTTTATGATTAGGATTGTAATAATTAGCCTCTTTTTTTTTTACATCAGGGAGAGTTGGAGAGGAAAAGGAAGCAACAGGTAAAATGATTATGAGTTTTTGCATTTCTTAAAAAAAATGAGTTGTGTCTTGGAGAAAATACAGTTGTTGTTGGTTTATTTGGTTGCAGTATTTTGAGAGTTTGAAGACAAGAGCACAACCGAAGTTACCGAAAGCAAGCGGGAGATTAAGGAAATTGGTGAGGAATCCAAGTTGTCCTCTCTGAACAAACAAACAATCAGTAGGAGACAGAAAGAGGAACTGTCGGTTAGTTATGTCATGAGGCATGATCTTCTCTACTTACTTTCTTGTCGACAAGAAAGTAGATTCCCTGTTTCAACGTTATGAATCTTTGGAGAATATAACAAGTGTTATGTTATTAGTTTTAGTTACAATCCTTCTCAAGTGTCTGTTTCAGTCTATATCTTCCTTCGGTGAGTACTGAACTGTGACCACTACTCTTGGTCCAGACACCAATGATAATTAGTATGATATAGAATGAATTAACGTGAGTATCTTTATCTTTCTTAAGATTGAAAATTTTCTCCCAAAGTTCTAGACTGATTTAAAATCTTAGACTGGCCACTATGAATGCATTAGAGACGGTGAATGCATTGGAGAAGATGAATGGTGAATGCATTGGAGAAGATGAATAACGAATTATAGAGATTAAGGAAAAAAATTATAAGAAATTTTCTGTGTAAGGTATGCCATCGGGAATGAATTTCATAGGACGGTATATCATTTTTGAATTCACATAAAGTAAATAAAATTATCGGTTGTAATATCATTTACTTAAATCTTTTAAATCTTTGAATTCATATAAAGTAAATATATTTACCGGTTGTAATATCATTTATGTAATATCATTTATGTAGTATTTTTCATAGTTTATAATGAATAATTATTTAGTGTTTAAAAAAAATTGAATGCAAGGTATTTGAGGATCTAGAGTTTTGTATGGATAATAAAGAATGTATTATCAATCTTTCAGTTTAAAATGTTGCATTATAAAAGATGAAATTCAAACCTAATGGCATGGAAATTAAGTTAGTAAAAGCTTAAACTAAAATACATACATTTTAAAACCATAGAAAAATATAGACATTAAAAATAAAACAATTATGTAACATTTGTTAAGAAAAAGTATATACATACTAAACATTAGAAAATAATAATATTGTACTAAATACACGATTTTAAAATCTATACTCTGAAGAGTGATATTATAAGATATCTACATTTTTAGTGAGGTTTCTAAATTTAGTAGCTTTGTTGAGATATTATAGAAAAGTAACATACATTTAATATTTTATAATAAGTAGTTTAACTTAAAAATTATATATGAAAAATCATATGATTCTGTTTTAATATTATGTATTTGTAGTGTCGATGATTTTGATTATTTTAACGTGTAAAGCAGGATATAGTAGATAGGTTATACTTTATGATATTTTCCCAAAACTAAATAAAAAAATCCAAAACCAAAACTTTGTTTCTTAATTGGGCTAGAAGTTGACAAAACAAAATTGGGCTGGAAACACCTAGAACATTGCAAAATCAAAGCTTATTATGTTCTTACCTCTGCTAGAAACAACTGGAACACGGAACTAAATTCGTTTCGGACCTATTCTCTTATATCTTCCCCTTAACCAAAGTTACATAATCTGAAAATCTGAACAAGTTTTTTTTTTTTGTGAACCCTGCACAAGTGTCCGAAGAGCTAAAGGAACGATGTTCTTTTTCTTTGCTGGTGGAGTAGGGCAACAGGTGAGGCAGGTGCTCAAATCCGGTGCCGGAAAATGCATAAGATGTGGCTCTGACGCCGATTTGGTGGAATACGACAGAGTCTTGAAGTTGTTCTTTGTTCCTGTCTGGAGATGGCCAGGGAAAGATCCTGTGCTCCATTGTAGAGACTGCGATCTGTTTTTCCCTCAGTCTCTCTCACCGCCTATTTCTCTAGCTACGTGCCGTTTCTGCGATCGAGTCGTAGAGTCTGAGTTCCGTTTCTGCCCCTTTTGTGGCTCTTCTCTGTGAATTTTGGCTCTGTTTAATAAGTTTGTTTGTAGTGAGTTTTTATTGTAATTTTACAGAATCTTTGAAGTTGTTGTGGTGGTTCTTGCAAAATCTATAAACACTTCCCGTGTGTGTTGTGTTGTTTTGTTTTGCTGAACAACATCATATCTTGATACGGAAACTGAATCCAATCAGTGAAATTACTATATTTTGTTAATTGTGTTGAATATAAATATTTGAAAAGGCCATCTTTTATTCTCAAAAACTGAGTATCAAGCAAGATCATATAAATAGTTACATAAGAATGAGTAGTTTATCTTTGTTGTTTGTTTTTTGGGTTTTCTGAAGGCATACACAGTGGAGTTGGAAGCAGAACTGAACTAGTTGAAAGAAGAGAATGCTCAGCTAAAACAGCTTTGATGTTACTTTGGTTAAAGACTGTTAGTTATTTCTTTTTTTTTATTAGGAGTGTTACAATTAGCCTTTGTTTTGTTTTCATTCAAGGAGAGTTGGAGAGGAAAAGGAAGCGACATGTAACAATGCTTTTGATACGAGAGTTATTGCATTTCTTGGAACATATGTATTGTGTATTGCTGAGATTACAGTTCTTGTTGTTTTATATGGTTGCAGTATTTTGAGAGTTTGAAGACTAGAGAGCACAACCAAAATTACCTAAACCAAGCGGATATACAATTCTTGTATGTTGATATTTCTGTGTTTTGGTAGGAGGAACATAATCTTGTCTTCTTTTCTTATGTTCCTTTTCAGCAAGAAAGTGATTCTCTGTTTCAACATCTTTATCTTTGGAGACTATGTAACAAGTGTTTCTGTCACTAGATTTAGTTTCGATCCTTCCCAAGTCTCTGTTTCAGTTTTGCATCTTTCTTAGGTGAGTAATCAACTGTGACCACTACTTTTTTTTTTTGAAACATACTCTAGTTCAATAAATCAATGATATTCAGTATGGTATCAAATGAGTTAACATATATTTATCCTCTTAAGATTGAGAATTTTCTTTTTTTTTAAAAACTGATTAAAACTATGATTGGCCACTATGAATGCATTAAGAAATATCTATAATTTAGTATGGATGATATATAAAAGAAAGTTATAACAATCTTTCATATATATAATGTTGCATAGTAAAGAAAAAATTCAACTGATAACATCGTTTATCATTATATGGCATGGAAATTATGATGTAAATAGCTTATAAATCAAATATATATACATTTCCAAACCAAAAGAACATAAATATAGAAAACAACAAAAACATTTGATAAGAACAATTTTATACATACTAAGCAGTAGAAAAAGAACAATATTGTACTAAACACACGAATTATAAATGGGAATTCGGCCAAAAAAAACACGAACTTTGCACGAATTGCCAAAAGAAACCTATACTCGACCCTGACCAAAAAACTACTATACTTTTGTTGACTTTTTAATTTTATTAAGAAACTTTTGATTGACTGGCCAATTTGACACACCGTTAATTCGCAGTTTAGACAGCGTTAAGTTTCCGTTAAATCTTGCCATTAAGTGAAACGAGGTCGTTTTCAAATAGATGAAACAACGTCGTTTTACATGATTCGAAAAAAAAAAAAAAAACGTAGTCCCCTGGATTTGAACACGGGTTGGTCAAGTCAAATGCCATTGTATTCCACCACTGGGCTAGTGTTACTCTCTTTGTACTCACTAACATAATTTCTTTTATTGAGTATTAGTTTTACATGATTCGAAAATAAAAAAAAGTTCACCCCTAGACTTAAACCCGAGTTTGTTAGGCAAATGACATGGTATTCCACCACTAGGCTAGTGTTAGTTTCATTGTATACACTAATATAATTTTTTTATTGAGTACTAATTGAATATAAAAATCTCTAAAAAACTTAAAAATACCTTTAAAATTACAAAAAAAATTGAAAAATAAAAATTATTTTAGAAAATTAATTTTGAAATTAAAATTAAAATTAAAAACAAAAATTTCATTTTTTTCTTTTTAAAAAAATCAAAAAATTTCCAAAATTTTCAAGAAATTTTAATTTTAACTTAAATTATAAATAATATTTATTTGTTTTTACTAAAAATGAAAAAAAAAATCGAAAATTTTAAAACAAATCCAAAAAATTAAAAACTCAAAGAAAATGCAAGCAAATTAAAGTTACAACTATCAACTTAAAATTAAAATCGCACTCATAATGGGTACAATAATTATTTTAAGCATTTTCATTTTAAATGAAAATTTTGGAAGATTTATGATTTTTAAAAGGAAAATGAAATTTTATTTTAAATTTTAATTTCAAAATTAATTTTATAAAATTNAAAAATTAAAAACTCAAAGAAAATGCAAGCAAATTAAAGTTACAACTATCAACTTAAAATTAAAATCGCACTCATAATGGGTACAATAATTATTTTAAGCATTTTCATTTTAAATGAAAATTTTGGAAGATTTATGATTTTTAAAAGGAAAATGAAATTTTATTTTAAATTTTAATTTCAAAATTAATTTTATAAAATTATTTATTTTTAATATTTTGTAATTTAAAGGTATTTTTAAAGTTTTTAGAGATTTTTTTATTCAGTAAGTACTCAATAATACTAAATATGTTAGTGAATACATTGTAAGTAGTTCAATCCCAGTGGTAAATTACCATGTCATTTAATCCAATTAACCCTGGTTCGAATATTGGTGTCTACATCTTTTTATTTTCAATTTATTCGGATGAGAATGTTAAAAACAACTATGTTCGCCAATACAATAAAACGTCCATTAGCCCAGTGGCAAAGTGCCTACCATTATCCCCAAGTGCTCAAGTTCGAATTCTTTGGAGCACGTTTTCTCACTTTTTAAAAAAAAAAATACATAAAACGACGTCGTTTCATCATAACGCCCAAATTTAACGTCGTCAAAAAAATCTGTTAACTTTGTTAACGGTGTGTCAAAATTGGCCAGTCAATCAAAAGTTTCTTAATAAAATTAAAAAGTCAACAAAAGTATAGTGTTTTTTTGGCCAGCCCATATGTACAGATTTCTTTTGGCAATTCGTGCAGAGTTCGTGTTTTTTTTGGCCGAATTCCCAATTATAAATATATCATTTTTAACCCAACTTAAAAACATAATTTACGTTAAACAGTAATATTATAATAAGAAGAAAATAATTTTCAATTTTTATTTTGTGGAAGGAGATATTTAGGCAGAAAACACCAAAACCCTCCTTCCTCACCTCGGGGGTTTCTATTCCTTAAGCTCCTTTCTCTTCTCTCCCTTCAATTCAATTCTCCACACTCTCTTCAGGTATCTCTCTCTCTCTCTCTCGCTTACTAACCGCTTTTCAATTCGAGTTTCTTTGTCATTGAGATTCTCCCTAAAAATCAAAACTTTTCTTCCTCTCTCACCTTGTTTTTTCCATATAATGCCGCAAATGTCTCAATACCCATCTCGAATTTCTCATAACCCGTAACGCCCCCGCTTGCAATTTCAATTCTCGTAGCTAAAGTCTCATCCTTTATATAACTTTTACTCGAAGAAACAATGAATTAGATAAGTGGCTTATAGTGTGTCTTGTCTGATTGCTGCAGCTTAACTAAGAACCTCTGTTTAATGATTAGGTCTTGTTAGGTAAGAAAGGCAACTCAGTTTCAAGATGGCTTCCTACGTTTCACCCTGTTTTAGTCCTTGTGATTCACGTCTCCTCACTGTTCTTAGAAAGAATGTATCACCTTTAAGCTCCTTTAGGATGATTCAGAGTAAGAAAAACCGAGTCTTTGTTGCTGCTCAGAGATCCGAATCTTCTCCAAGGCATTCCCATAGCCAGGATCCTTTCTTGAACCTCCACCCTGAGATATCTATGCTTAGAGGTGAAGGAGGAGGAGGAGGAGCCAACAACACAGTATCCAACCCCAGGAAGGAAACTAGCTCTTTGCTCCCTGTCACTGAGGTCTTTGATGAGGAGCCTTCTGCTCCAACTAGTTACAATGAGGCGAGGATTAAAGTTATTGGCGTGGGAGGTGGGGGTTCAAACGCTGTGAACCGTATGATAGAGAGTGAGATGATGGGAGTTGAGTTTTGGATTGTGAACACTGATATTCAAGCTATGAGGATGTCTCCTGTAATGTCTGAGAATAGGTTACAGATTGGTAAGGAGTTGACAAGGGGTTTAGGTGCTGGAGGGAATCCGGAGATTGGTATGAATGCTGCTAGGGAGAGTAAAGAAGCTATTGAAGAAGCTCTTTATGGTTCAGATATGGTCTTTGTCACGGTATGTGATTGTACTATCAATGTCACTTTGTTTGAGAGCATTTTTGCTGGTCTAATGTCTTTTTGTTAATTAGGCTGGAATGGGAGGTGGGACTGGTACTGGAGCAGCTCCTGTGATTGCTGGAATCGCTAAAGCGATGGGGATATTGACTGTTGGGATTGCCACAACGCCTTTCTCGTTTGAGGGGAGGAGAAGAGCGGTTCAGGCTCAAGAAGGGCTTGCTTCTCTTAGGGAGAATGTTGACACTCTTATTGTGATTCCGAATGATAAGCTGCTTACAGCTGTCTCTCAGTCTACTCCTGTGACTGAGGCTTTTAATTTAGCTGATGATATACTTCGTCAGGGGGTTCGTGGGATATCGGATATCATTACGGTAATGGCTTTTTAATGAACTTCAAGTGATTGTTTTTTGTGTGTATGGAAAATGCTTTAACAGGTGTATTTGTCTTTGCTTTTTTTCAGATTCCTGGTTTGGTGAATGTTGATTTTGCTGATGTGAGAGCTATAATGGCGAATGCAGGTTCTTCCTTGATGGGAATAGGAACTGCAACAGGTAAGCTTGGTCTGCATAAGTTTCATAATCACTATTATATGTGTTGAAGTAGTCTTATGAGCTGAATCTTTGTATGCTAACTGTAAATGGTAATCAAACAGGAAAGAGCCGGGCAAGAGATGCTGCACTAAACGCAATCCAATCACCTTTGCTAGATATTGGCATTGAGAGAGCCACCGGAATCGTTTGGAACATCACTGGTGGAACCGACATGACATTGTTCGAGGTCTTTCTCTCTCTCATATGTACTTCTTAATCATTTGGTCTCTATCTTCCTTAAACAACTTAAAGCAAAGCCTGAACATGGTCTACATGTTTCTCATACACTGTGGTGTCCTTGTAGGTGAATGCTGCTGCGGAAGTTATATATGATCTTGTTGATCCAACTGCCAATCTTATATTCGGAGCTGTTGTGGATCCATCCCTCAGCGGTCAAGTATGTCATTTTTTAATTTTATCTTTAACTAACATATATGTTCTCTGGAAATGTAGAGATTGATTTTTTTTTTGGGGTACAAGGTGAGCATAACACTCATAGCAACGGGTTTCAAAAGACAAGAAGAAGGAGAAGGAAGGGCGGCTCAGATGGCACAAGCAGATACAGCCTCAACTGGAGCTACAAGAAGACCTTCTTCCTCTTTCAGAGAAGGAGGTTCAGTGGAGATTCCAGAGTTCTTGAAGAAGAAAGGTAGCTCTCGCTATCCCCGGGTCTAATAAGTCTGAGTTATGATCACCATCCTGCACGCTGCAGAGCAGCCTTGTCTGTTTGGGATACATGCAAGATGTTTTGATGTATGATCAAGAATCATGTGGGTGTGTGTATAATGCCTTAGCTTTGGTGGTGTGTGTCTTGAATAGGTTTTTGTTTTAGAGATGTTTTGTTATGATGTCATTGGTTATGTGATGTCTCTATGACTTGAAAAATAAAACAAAAAAATCACTTAATGATGAACTGCAAATCTGTATTATCAGTGGTGGTTGACCACTTACACTTACCACACTTAAGGTGGGACCTTGTGATGACCTTTGATTATAATTATTACCAATGTAAACACTCTCTTCTTGTATCTTTGTTCCTTTCTTTCTCTACCACACATCATCTTATCTCTTTGACAACAAGAATAAATGTCCCAACCAACACTGAGAGTGCCCATCACAAATCCTTCCTCTTGGTTTTAAACTTAGCTTCTCTCTCTCTTTTCCAAAGGTTTCATTTCTTCTCTACCATACTCATGCCCTACGCGACTTCTCAAGATCACAGTTAGCCTTTTACAGAGCAAATTGTAGTATTATGATCTTATTTGGTGAAATATCTTGTCCTCCTCTCCCCCACACACACACCACAGATTGAGTATACTCGGTAAAAACCTTCAGATTATGAGTTATGTTGTGAGTGTTATTTGGAACATTTACAACGTAACTCATATTCTGTGGGTTTTCACCGAGATCTGTATGAATGCTTCTAGAGGGAGCAAATAAGCTATTGAAGAGACTCTTTATGGTTTCAGATATGGTCTTTGTCACAGTATGTTCTCAAATCTTTGGTTTCTTGTAATATCAATGATACTGCTGGTCTAATGTCTTTGTTAAACTATTAGGCTTGAAGGGGCGGTGGAACTGATACTGGAGCAGCCCCTGGTCAGCTTCTTAACTGGTTCTTTATATCAATTTTACTTCTGATATAGTGGTTTCTGCGTAACTTGATGCCCAATGTACATCAATTATATAGAAACTCAAATTACATTATATTTGTTTTGGCTCTGTGTCTCTTGTGAAAGCATATATAAACAATCTACTTGCATCAATCTAAATACTGAAAGAAAAGAGTAAAAAAGGTCATCATAATAATAATAAAAAAAAAAAACCTTGGTTGCAAACTTGCAATTCATATATCATAATCGTCAACCTCAAATGTGTTTTGATAGATAGCTTTTGGTCTATAAAAAAATACATGTGACAAGATTTCTTTCAAAATTAGATACATGTGAGTAATGAGAAGAAAATAATATACATAAACTCAAATTACATTTTTATTTTTGGTGTAAATGTTAAAATAAACTCAAACTACATTATATGTTGTTTTGGCTCTCGTGAGTTGTGAAGCATAGATAAACAATCTACTTGCATCAATCTAAATACTGAACGAAAAGAGTAAAACATGCCATCATATGCAAAAAACGAACCTTGGTTGCAATTCATTTCTCATAATCGTCAACAACCTAAATGTGTTTGATAAATACCTTTGATCGATCTTATAGAGATACATGTGACAAGATTTCTTTCAAAAAAAAGGATACATGTGAGAAGAGAAGAAAAGAATATACATAAATGACTGAAATGTGAAAAACAAATGTACATAAACAAACAAATACAAAACAGTATCGTGGTTGGTTTAGGAATCACCGCACCGCGTTGCCACGTCAGCGCCAACGACATTTCAAAAAAAACACAACAACAGTTCAAACGGGTCCCACCAAAACCAACCAATCACTAATAACATCATACTTGTCACCCCAAGTCAACAACCGCCCAACAAATCCCCTCTTCTTCCAGAAGCGAACCGGTTCATCCCACCCAAACCGGGAGCAACCGGTTCAACCTTTTCCGGCTCAACCCGGCTCCTGATGTCTTCGTGGTCGGTCCCACGCGAAGACGTGTGTTTACAGCCACCTCCTATACGGAAGATAGCTCTGAAACTCGCCATAAACCCCGGTTTCTTGACCCGGTTCGCCTTCTCCGGTCGAACCGAGTTTTGACGGCGCATCCGTCGGCTACGTTCTCTTTTGGATCTCACTCTTCCCATGCAAGAGACGTTAGGAGAAGAAGGCTCCAGTTGCGAAAGATCCCTCTTCGTTCTTGACCCGACCCGTTTCAAGAAGACAAGATTCTTGTTATTATTACCGACGTTTCTCCGCTGCTTCGCCTCGTTTAAACACGTGTTCTGCGGTTTAGGCAAACCGATGATCGACGCCTTGGAGTACCGTTGAGAGCTAGGGTTGGAGTTAGGGTTGGAGTTGATATTATTCACTGAGTTTCCTCTATGTGATTCTCTACGGTCAAAGAAGGCGTTGTCGGTGAGCCACTCGAGCTGAGCATCTTTTGACAAGAAGTAAGATTCCGGTGGAAAATCATTTGGACTCACGGCGGAGTTTTTGTAGTAATAAGGACGAGTTTCCGTGTCGTCGGAAAAAGTAGACGAGCATGCGATCTTCCGATCGGAGCCCCCGGCGCAAACAAAGGCTTCAAGATCAACTTGTGGCATGGAGATTGTAGAGATTGGAGAGAGAGATGAAGAGGTGAAGAGACAAATAGATGAGAGTTGGTGTTTTTATATTATTACGTGAAGAAACACAAAGGCTCTTCTTACAGATTGTTTGTTTGTCTTGTTGTTATTAAAAAAATATGATTTCTGCTCGAGAAACCTGGGGACGGAGCGCCGACGGATAGATACAATAATCATAAACAGGATTAGTTATAGTTAATGGTAAATCTGATATAGTAAAGTGGTTGGTAAGTTAGATGACTAGATATATAAAATTATAGCGATGTTCTTTTGATTCTAGCTAGAAAAAAATACTCCACTGACACTTTTACAAATTGTATTGAAAATAGTATAAAGTTATTAGTGTTTAGGTTTTTTATTTAAATGTAACAGAACATATTTTTACATGTATCGAGTATAAATAATATATCTTCAATTTAATGATGTTGATTAGGAGATTCCATTACACCTGCAGATTCATTAACTGAAAAAATAATTGTATGTATTCTAAATTTTGATTGAATAATTCTTTAACACCAATCTAACAGCAGCGTCAAATTAGTGTCAGTGTTAAGTTTTTTAATCGATATATTAATCCACGGCTGTGCATTTCTTATAAAAGATATTTTTCTCATATGTATAATTAGTTTTGGCTTAAAGATGTGTGTATGCATAATCCAGCATGATGAAGATTCGTCCTTTACGAGGGGTTGGATCCTGTTAGCGGACGGCTCATGATGTAATAATCATTCTTGATTTTCCTCCATGAATTGAAACGGCAACAAATCATTTGGAAGCTTCTATACCATTTCCTTATTTTCAGATGCATGTATATTTGTTTTCTCTGTGTCCAAGAGAACCCTGCATTTTCGGTTTCGATAAAATACATGCAACTTGGAATAATACTAATACATAAAATTGAGTTGATGAAACATATCACACTTCAAGGGGTCCTATATACTCTTGTATACATTTCGACTTACTTTGACATTTCTCTCTCTGAATTAAAATCTAGTTTAAGACAAAATAATAAAGTGACATTGAAAATTGTCTCGTTTAGTGCGATAGATTCCTATATGATCAGCTTATCTCTTAACTTTATTGATCTCCAGCATCGTTGTTAGTAAAACGAAATAACGTGTTGATATTCTTTTTATATGCATTATTTGATAAAATATAGAAATTATGCAAAGAAAAGACAAAAATACAGAGTAATCTAATTGGCTTTATGGAACTTTTATATAAGCATACTACTAACTATTCTCAATGTTTTTAACTTTTATAGTTTTTCATCCTCGTGTTAGCTTTAATTAATTTTTCATAACCTGCAAAGTGTTGGTCAAACTTTGAGGATTAGTTTTCTTTTCGTATGAACATAGTTAGCTACCATATTTGTGACTTTTCAATTAACTAATTTATTTTAATTATCTTGGAAATTACGTTAAGAAATACTAGAAGGATTAGTTATAGACAGCTAAGGAATGATCCCATCGAGTTATCATTGACTAATCACACGTAATCTGTGATGAGAATGTAAGATAAGCCTCAAAGGCTTTGAAACCTGTTTTGCGGTCAAATGTCCAACCAGTTCACTAATTAAAAAAATTCACAAACAAAATAAACTAAAAACAATCAAACGAGTATGAACTCCTTAATTGCCGCAAATGTTTTTTACACATCTAGAAACCTACTTTTTGTGGGTTTTAGAAATCTCTGTTTGCCCTTAAAAAGAACATGAAAGTTTGAAACATGTGTGTTCAATCAGACACGAGAAAAGGTAAACTGTCTGGATTTGACTAGAGCTTGACATTTTATCCTTTAAATTTAATTTAATTTGTTTCTATTTAATCTAAAATTTTTGGATATCCGTAAAATCTTCGAAACAAAACAAAAATTAAAAGTCATTAAAAGTCATTAAAAATAAATCAAATCACAAATACTAAAAATAGAGACGGATATATGATATATTCGGACGTATACAAATAAATATATATATCTAGAGTTAAATAATGTTTAAATGTATAGTTTTATATAATTATTTATTTGAACATATAATTATTTATTTATAATATATATACAAAGTATAAAATTAAGAAAAGAATATAAAATCTTAATAAAATTACAGTTTTCTAAAATTCTTTGTTTTATCAAAAAATTCATTCCATTATAAAAGGAATGTAACAAAATCAGTTGTGCGCTAGATTAGTTACTGGTTACAAACAGTTTGTTTTGTGTCCATCAACATCACGTCGATCAAAATAATCGCTATTTGGAACCATGACTAGCTATCTTGTTATATAAATGGCAACATGATGAATACCTAATAAATTTGTTGGGTCCTAAATTTTCTGGGCCGGGCCTGTACATTTGCATTAATTTTGGTGGGTACACACATTTGCCAAATGGCGTTATTTTGCATGCGTCAACGTAACTCCGGATAGGTTGGCATATATATTGAAGATAAGGCAAATGGGATTTAATATATTCCTTGAACTATAGAGGATACATTACACCGCCAAATAAAAATAAGCACACGTACGTTCAATATCCTACATGCATATGTATACCATTTGTCTAGAATGGTGCATCATGTTTGATTTATACATCGAAATTATCGTAATTGTCAATGGACCAATACTAACATAGACATACAACATTACAACCTTCTGCATAACAACACTTTCAAAACGGCGGCTACAATCTTCAGATTAATAGACGGGGAGGTCGGGAACATCATTATGTGAAGAAAAGGCAGGAGGCTTTTCAAAGGCTAGACTAATTTTGTATTATTTGTTGGCTATTTAGTGCAGTCTTGTTTTTACTTTTTTTTGCCTGAGATGTACTATTTTAGGATCTCGACTTTTAAATTTTCTCTTTTCATTATTTAATGATATTGACGTTCGTAGAAAAAAAACATAGGCATACATGGCTTTTTTACTATAATACCAATTTTTGAGGTAGAGAAACATAAGGTTCAACACATTATATTAAAATCGATAAGCCCAAAACATATATAATTAATGTAGAGATGATGTGGAGTCTGGTTCAAAGTTATCAAGTGAAAACAAGTAGTCACTATTTCGATAATGTATGTTAGGAATTATCATCGGAATTACTCACTGACATTTTAGCGTTATTTGAAACTAAAGCTTATTGTAATATTTTTGAAGGTTAAACCAAAGATTATTCCATATTTATCTAGAAAAGAAGACTTCCATAATCTTGCAGAAATTCTATGGTCTACGGTCTACCTTTGACTCAAACTCTATCATTGCGGAATTCCATGTGAAGATGGCATTCGGTGAAAACGCCAACAAATTTTAATAATAATAGTCTCAATATGTTTTAAACTCATAAAGAATGTTGAACATATGAATACATACATACCATACTAATAAAATCCATATTTATTTTACAATTTGTATAGTCATAGATAATCGAGTAAATGTTCATACATATATTTATATATTAGCCGATTGAAGATGTGGTTATTTAATTATATCTTTCCAGGTAAATTAATTTTACATTTGAAGACCGATTGGTAATAGTTGCTGTAACTTTGTTGTATATCAGGAAATTTCTGATCGAGTTATACACAAAGACCAATTGGTCATATATGAAGCCAAAAACATAAAAATAAAATTCAGCTGAGAGGCAAAGGCATATTCAAAGAAAGAGGCGATACTAATAGATTCATAAAGTAAACTCAAACATATTGGAAGTAGAGAAAATTAGAGTCAAAGTCATACAAGTAGCCAATACGTGTTGGAATATAACCTCAAGCTCGATTCATGTAAAGGACTACACCATAGTCCACAGGTTCTTTAAGTACATTACTTGAGTTTAATGGGGCCATTAGAAGAGTTTCGAGAAGCTCTAAACCTTTGACTATGGAGTCAAAAGTACGGCGGCCAAAGTATGTCCTATGATTCTTCCACTTAGTTTCCACCTATCAACACTTTCCTGCTTTAAGGTTTAAACCATCCTTTTAACCTTTGTTGTCCCTCCTACGATAGAGAAAAGATATAGCTATCGTAGAAGGCTAATTGCATATGTATTGATTTGTACACAGTTAAAGCCTTCTTTTGGTACACTCACAGTTATAGCCTTATTTCAGTATAAAATGTATAGCTTTACTATATCTATCCACCATATTTTCAGAAATTGTAAACGCAAACACAGTATCTATACTTTAGCTAGTAGATGCAAACAAAAGAATATTTTACGTTTGAAATCTATGTTATTTATAGAACGTATGTGCTTTAAATGAAACAATGTTATTACGTTTTTTCATCTGTCCGACTAATAAACATCGCTTAGAAATCAACGTATAGCTTATGTTATCGAGTTTTGGATTGTCTTTTTTTTTTTCTTCACAACAATAGCTAAACTATGGTATATGTCCTATTGTTTCGGAAAGCCAAACCGATGACATAGAATCCACATAGAATACAGCTGAACTGGATTGTCAATCAACTTAATTTTTGTTTGAACTGGACTTATTCAGGCAATAAACTTGTTCGGGTGACTTTTTGGTGATTGTTTAAAGGGAAGTGTTAAAACGTTAATGGACCGATCTTCCTTATGGAAACTTTAGAATTCAATTCATAATTCAAATGAAAGCTTAATCTTTTTAGTTACTGTGAGAAAAAAAAACAAGCAGATATTATGGTGTTAATTTTCTTTACATTTTCATCATCGATAAAAGCTATATCAATACAAAGACTTTGAATGATAACCAAGTAATGAAGAAGAACACTAAATTTCTTATCATTCCTAAAAATATTCACTATTTATAAGAAATGTTTTTTTTCTTCTTATTCCTTCTCATTTTTTTTTTGTAAAAGAATATAGAACTAAACTGTTCATTTATTAAATTTGATAAAGAATAATTATTCATTTTCTTTCCTGGAATTTTATTTCTATCTGTTTTTTTACATGATCCAATGGTTCTCACTCAGTGAACTTTGGACTTGACTCAGCAACAGCAAAGGCAAGCGAGCGGTATTCAGACCCCCTGGTATGTGCCGCTTTCCTAATCAAAAGATAGGAGAAAGGTTCCTGAGACACAGCATGGAAAAGTCACAATATATTTTTTGGGGTTTATTCCTTTTTCAAAGGAATATCCGGGCGGAACGACTTTAGAGAATGCGCAGAGCAGCTTAGCCGCTCCATCGTGCCTTACCTCAGTACACGCTACGCGCAACGCGGCAGGCACTCACTCTCATTCTTATCCTTCCTATAATTGTTATTAGTTAGACCCCAACAAGTAGATGATGGCAATCTTTTAAGATAACTGCTTCATATAAATAAGAACAATCACATTGATTATATATGTGATGTGTATAAGATAGACGAGTTAAATGATTTCTCTAAAATTCTTTTTTCTCGTACTCACTTTATGTTAGGCTAGGAGCCTAGGAAGTTGGTGTTGAGCAGTTTCGATCCAATCATTAACAATCCATAACTAAAAATAAGAAGTTATAATAATGATGGAATATTTCGTTGTAAAAGTTGCATACAAAATTTAGCCAGTTTTATTTTATATTCATGCTGACCACAATGGTTACAAGGATATACAATACATGAAACAAGAAAAATAATGAAAACGATTATTAAAACGCTTAATATTTAATATACGTTAAGTTTCAAAAAAAATAAATAAAAAAATATACGAATGGTAAAACTACAAGTCGCTCTCTCGCTGTATAAGAGCCGTCTTGATAAACTTCTTGTTTATTTGCCCCGATTATGACTTGGGTTCCAACTAATTAATCAACTTTTAAATATGATACAAAATTGCTGAGTCGAATAGTAGATAAATAATTTATAGGTTCAGTTTGCGGAATCAAATTAAACTGTATTTGATCTTATGAAAACTAAAGTTCACTAAATTAACATTTAAATGAGGTATACGAAAACTTATAATACTTAATCGAATTGTCCTCAACCAAACTAATAAAACTAAGCGGAACTTTGTTAAAAAAGAAAAAAAAAACTAAACAGAACTGAACGGATATAAAATGAGATCCCAAATAACTTTTTTTACATTGAAAAATCCAAACTCCAAATAACTAACACAAACTAAATCCAACCAAATAACTGAATGCTTAATGTTTACAACCCACACAGAACCATTGTTTCTTATTCTTAAGCACGTTATTTTATACTTATCTACAATACCTACACATCATATTATTTTTTAATTTTTAAACACAATATACTTTTGACCTATACCAAATACGAAATATATTATGTTTTGAATAGAGATTTGATAGTCACGAAATAATTTTCGTTCAACACAACTACTCAAATTAACCACTTTTTGAATGATGTCCTATTTATTTATGAGGTGTTTTCAAGCTAATCAACAAATTCATGCATATATATCAGTATACCTATTAGATGACTCCGGCTTACATATTATTATCATCATTAAAATAGGAATACAAATTTTAGACACTGACTACAGTGCAACACTAATTATGACATTTCACCAACTACCAATACTATATGCACATGGTTAGGTGCTTATATACATATATAAAAACCTGAGAAAAAAAATACTGCTAATCGGATTCCATACATTTTGTTTCCTTTGATTAAATTAATCAATATTTGTCTTATAGTTATGTTTATATCAGATAAGGCATTTGATGATTTTTTCGGTTACATATAGGTATTGGATGATCACCAACTCCTTATCCGTAGCTTAATTATTTGGGTCATCATAAATTCATAACGATCGGTTTATTTGTGATACAAGCAATCATCTCGTTGGATAAATGGCAATATATATATACATACAATTTTGAATCGAAACATGACGTTTCATAGATTAAATATTAAATGTCACGGACCATATGTTAAAGTACATATGGTCGGATACGAACCTCCGTGGTAACCTGTCGCTTGCATAATGTACTAAGGTTTAAAAGTAATAATAAGTGGTGCCATATCTATTCATTTCCGAAGACATCATGTAAGTTGTAACCATGATTTGGGACGAGATATATGCATATTTTATCATAATTATTTAATATTTAAAATTCACTATTCTCTCTGCCGAGGGATGCACCACGCTATTATTCCAAGTCAACACTGAAAAAAATCGAAAAAAGAAAAACAGAAGGTATAAAAGTCAAAAACTTGCCAGTTTTCATATTTATTATATTCTT